TTAAGGTCATGGGTTGAGTTCGAAACCTCATAGCGACGAAAATGTTCTTCTCTCTAAAATGTTCTCCTTTCACCTGTTTTCCTACTCCTAACTCCTAACCATGTTCTGTCGTCTGCATTTGGTCTCCACTTTCTGCCCCCACCCCGTTCCCCCCTTGCCCCCTCCTTTGGTCCCCTGGCTCTTTCTGTTACTCTATAACTCCTTCTTATTGCTGTCTTTTAGCCGCATCCCTGATCTTAGGGTATGTAATATCTAATGCCTAGCTTTCTCGGAAAAGGGCAAAAAACCTCGGAGGTCCCGTTTGCAAGTTGTGCGCGTTAAAGATCCCTTAGTGTTCCAAAATCGATAAGAGAAGGCTTCAGCTGCCACCCAGGCAAAATTCAAAATAAGTTCCTACCAAACTGACAATGTGTGTCCAGCGCGCTCATGTGACCTTGTGCAGTTGCAAGGCCGTTGTGCCCTCGTGATTCTCACAGCTTTAACTCTTGGTATACGGCGCGCAAGTTCTGCTGGCACACAAACGATCAGTTGTTTACTGAAATAACAAAAGATCTACAGAGCCCCAGGAAATCCTAGTTATCTATCACCAAACTGTATGGTTACTGCATGGAGTATTTATTTCTACTCAATTTGGTGTCTATTTGTTTATGCAAATATATTACATAGGAAAGGAGTTGTGGGAAGTTTGTTCTGTTGCAAAATTAGATGACAAACTTGTTTGCTGACAAGGTGGAATAGCTTTCCATGGAGTTAAACAGTAATTACCTGATGCATAGGAATACCAAAATTGCCGGACTCAGAAGGACCAAACTGATGACGTTGCACACGATAGACACTATCTGTTCAGCTTCCAGGGACTGTTGGAGAGTACGTGAAGATACTTTTACTTCAACTTAATCAATTACAGTGCGTCAAAAATTAGTGGCGCAACTAGTACTTATCCTCAAATAACTCTTTAACGGTTGAATCAATGTCACCCATGCTTTGCACAGCAATTTGTATCAATTTGTCTTAACTTAATCATAGTTTTTCACAACAATTGAGGCTAGATTTAAAAACTTTTCTTCATAAATTTATACAAAATACTACAAATCTCCTTCACTCGGAAAATGGGATTGTTCACAGCACTTCCCGCTTCTCAAACACATTTCGCATACGCATATGGCCTACGTCACAGCTCACCACAGACATTTTCTAATGGCAAAACTTGTTACAAGAATCTAATTTTATAGTGAACATATTTTTTGCACTAAAGGTTCTCAGAACGTGCATTCAATAAGCCTTATGTAGCGATTAGAAAAGCATGACAAACTTGCTTTTGTAAGCGATATTGCCACAGATGTAATTTTTAAAATCTGTAGAAACCACCCGCTTGGATTTTTACTTAGTATCTATTACAGGGGCGAAGGCTGACTTGTTTGACAGGGCAATCAGAGTGAAACGGGACCAGATATTATGGCCTGGAGATATCACACAAGAATCTTTCTCGAGGCGGCGACTCTTAATAAGTTGTGTGAATGAAAACAAATCCGGAATTCAACCGCCAAATAATAGGGGAAGTATCTCATTAAATATCAATTCCTACTAAAAATTAAATTTAACTTTAAAAGTGAATACACAAACCCAAAGCAAGGAAGCAGAAATGTCAGTACTAGATCTATTATATGTTATAGATCTACCAGTGAGTCTAACTCTTTGGTAGAACATGACAATTATCATTTTTTTAAATTTCAATTTGGCTGTTTTTGTCTAGCTTTTCGAGGCCAGGAGCTGGTGTCATAATCGAGGTCACGATCTGATAATAGGACGGTAAAAAAATCGAGGGAATAAAAAGCTCTCGCAGTAGTAAAGAGATTATTAGGATTAGGTTCCCCTCACATCTGTAAGGTAGACTCGACCAGTGCAATAGTTCACTTAAATAATCAGGGCTTGGGACTGATTATAATTGTTGCCCAAAAGGGGTGAACAGGGTATATGTGGCAATGAAACTGTTTTGACTGCTATGCACATATTCCCTTCAACTCTATTGGTAGACTCTTCCAGCCTCACTTTAAGCTTACTTAATCAAAGCTTGTGACTGCTTACGGAGTGGCCCTGGAAGGGTGAGCAGGCTATTTCTGTGGCAGTAAAATCGTTTTGAATGTTAGGCATACTGTTCATTGTTGATTACAAACGTCTTTTTACATGTAATTTATAAGGTTTACGTTTATGGATGAATTTGACTGCTACAACGTTTCAAAATTAGGAAGGGAAGCAGTGATTATTTGATTATATAGACGCTTCGCCACTGATCTATTAAGGTATTTTCTAAAATACAGCCAACAGGTGTTTACAAAAACATTGATCCGTAAGACAAATTGACACAAGTCAATGTGCGAATGCTGGAAATTATGTTCGATAGTTTCGGAAATATTTGACAATAAATTGCGCGACGAATTTTTGACCGCACTACAATCATAGTTGTGAAACTATTGCATTATTATTTAATGTGCGTAAAATAAAGAGTGTTATGAGTTTATTTTGAACTACACTGGCTACTGGCTTGTCCCCTTCACTGCCTGGTTGGACTCTGAGTAGAATTTTAAAAAGCAAATTACTGCGTTACAAGAATCTCGATGTTTACCAACAACGTTTAAACAAAACTTTATTTAAAAATATATTTGAATTTATTGGCAATTCTTTAAAAATTAGAGGGGGGGGGTGTATAGATCTATATTATTTTGTCTCATATACCCCCTTCCCAACTATATTTCATACACTCCCAGTCATCACATTCCAGCCTACTAACCCATATAGGTTGTTGGTACTGTCACTGCTGTTCCCTCAAAGGACATAAAACGTTTACAATTATCATTAGCAAAACTTTAAGACCTGGTAGATTTCCTAAAATTACGAAAACAAAACAAATGTGTGTAGTTTATGGTATTGTTCATTTACATATACCACGTGCAATCACAATAGCTTAAAATTCGAATTGATTACTTTTTAGGACATAGCTATAATCACTTATTGATAAAAGACATTCTACGCTAAAGTAGGCCCCAATGTAAGCGTCTGGCATGCTTGCCACTTCCTGAACTTACTTATGCATTAAGTGCATTTAAATATCATTTTCAAAACCACTTAAGGCAGGTAATTAGTTTTTCTTGACCAAATACGAGTGTTTGGGGGGAAATAAAAGAGAATTTTAGAATGTGCAGGGCAGAGTTTTGCAAACACTAATAAGGTTGTCTCCGCGAGATCAGCTCACTGATGCTTGGTTTGTGGGATCGAGAGTGTTTGCCGTTATTGGGCTATCAGATGAGAAAGGAAAGCGACATCACCAAACGTATCAATATATCATTCAAAAAGGAGCCTGCATTGAATTTGTACTCGCAGGTGGTTGGCGCGCTCTATCTGACTATCTGGTATAGTTTATTTCTTCTTTCCTATTAAATAGCTTTTGTCCTTGTCTCTCCACCTTTTTTTTCTTTTGAATGTTACTTTCTAGTAACACCTTTAACCTTCGACACCCACCGGCCTGTTATGACATATTTTTGTTGCAATTGCTGTAAATCTCTTACTAAAGCTAACAATGTAGGATATATTCCTATAGGCTGGGATTTTTATTTTTTTAATTTAAGAATGCAATTTTGCTCTGTTCCATCACTCAAGTCTCGGGCGTGCCAGTGAAGGTTAACTAGGCCCATGTCCAAGCTGTGATTCCAAGTCATTTTATCTCTTTTTTTTCAAACATTGGTTTACTGGTTCAGTAATGGCACGACTCTCGAAGCCAAAGCGATTATATTTTTTATTCAAATATGTACATTGTTTACAACAGAAATTACGCATTCAGAAAAAAAGGTACAGGATCTTAAATAGGTAAACCGTTTAAATAAGAGCAAAGCGTTTTAAAACACATGCGTCCAGTAATTGTTTTTCTTGGAAGAAATTAATAGTGTACTGGCAGGCACTTCAATATCCACTCCGAGCCCTCTCCCATAGATGAGTATAAATGGAAAAAAAGGATGATATCAATTGTACCCAAACATCGGTATCTCTTTAATGTGAAATCAAATATACCCTCAAATACACCCGCAGGACACATGAAAGCATTAGAATTTGTTAGACAGCGTTCTAGTTTTTTCTAATGCTCCTAATACAAAAAGTTTTTCATCCCAACTCCATTTAACCATTTGAATTAGGCCCATGCTCACATCAACGTTATAAGAAATACAGGACGAGTAGTCTGTCCACTCAAGTCGGTGTTGAGGGTGCTTCCACCACTGGCCGGAGTCCAGACACGTCCGCGTAGCTCGAGCTGTCAGGGAAAAAGGAACTACTATTAGTAACACTTACACACACACACACACACACACACACACACACACACACACACACACACACACACACACACACACACACACACTCACACACACACAAAAATGCTATGAAAATATAATGAACAAAGAAGTAATCAGCGACTTTCAAAACAGATCACTAATAAGATTCATCATAGACAAGTTCAGTTTTTTCATAACAGTTTGATGTTTGATTAGATTAGTTTGAGAAGTCGAACAATCCAAAAAGTAAGTCAGCTGAAGTCCACTACATATACCAGTTTGGCATCTAAGGGTCATTGTCATTTCAAAGGAACCCTTTACTTGAATATATGGGCAGTGACATTTCTTTTTTAAATTAACTTTCCGCAGATTCCTACAGTTTTACACAAGTTATCTTGGACTGTCTTGTTAATTCTGTGTTGGCCACCGTCGCTGTCCCATGTTTGCTCGTCAAATAAAATCTGAATCCCAGTAAGGGTAAACACAATGCAAAAACAACGTTTTCACCCCCCCCCCCCCCCCCTCAAATAAAAAAAATTAAAAATATCACTTTCCCCACTCAGTCTTTCGACTTAAATGTTAGTATACATTATGTTTAGAAGGCAATTCCAACTTCGTACGTAGCCTAAGTTGTCATCCATGTTTTCAGCATCCCAACTTCCCTTTTATTCCGCTCTTTGCCTATCTGCATAATATAAATACCAAACTGAGTAGAAATAGATGATCAAAGCAGCAAACACACAGTTTAAGGAAAGATAGATATTAGCTGAGGGGGATCGGGTCTGGTCGGGGCGGTTTGCTTGCCAGATTGAGGGCGCAAAGCGGCTATCGTGGCACAAGTCGACGTCGGGTCGGGGGGCGATCGCCCCACTCGTCGCCTGAAAACAAACGGGCGCGATCGGCTTGTGCCACGACAGCTGCTTTGCAGCCTCAATCTGGCGAGCGATCAGAACCGATCCCCCAATGGGCACCCTGTATAAGCAACCGAGTATTGCGGTGACCCAGGGGAGCCTTATTCTATGAGTTCAAGAACGGTCTCACTTACCCCCAACGTTCAAATGGTTGTCCGCTATAAAATCTGGACAACCGACGGAGGCAACTTGACCTGCCAGGGTCGCATTTACACAGGAGTAGCCATCCCAAGTCTGTGGACAGTGTGTTGTCCTGTTCTGGTGTCCAGAGAAAGTTCCCTCTGTGTGTCTGCGGGACATTTGGTCGTGGCAACAATCACGGGCAGCATTGCAGCATCTTATCCACCTGTGGCACTGGGGCTTGGAGAGTGCTTCACATACTTCCTAGTTCAAGTTCAAAGGGGTTTCAAATACAGCAAGAACACATCGAGCTAACTTGCGCGTGCTTATGTTTTAAACAAGAAAGACGATAGAGACAACATCAAACGTGTTGATGTTCAAAACTAGAGGATCGGGAGAGAGAGAGAGAGAGAGAGAGAGAGAGAGAGAGAGAGAGAGAGAGAAATAGTCAGACATGGACGAGGGCAGAAAGGGGTAGACAGACAGGTACACAGGTATACAAACGGACTGACATAAATATAATAATATAATATGAACGGAGAGACTTGGAGAGACCAACACTCAAACTGATTGAAGTCGGACGAGTAGCCCACACGTGAGCAGAAATATTGCTCGTGAGGGACAAAGACATGAACAAATGTAAAAGTAAAAGGACGTTTTGAGTTTTTGGTGGATTTCAGATTAATTAATGCTAAGTCGTAATAACTTCACAGTGTTCCTGTTACAGCCAAGGCGAAGAAGCAGCATGCTTCGATAAGCGTGACAACAATCTAAAGTACAGTTCAACCTTTGTAAGACGGAATCGCAAGGGAGTCAGAAAAAAATTTCGTCTTAGATATTTTCCGTCTTAGACAGAGGAATTTAGGGAGAAATAGAGGGGAGTTTCAGAAAACCAGCCGATGGGACCAAAGGTCGCTAGTCTGGTCGGCAGGCAGTGGCCAAAATTTCACACCTCTCAAGTGCTATCCTAACCTCTCAGATAGTGGCGTGCATCAGTCCTACTTATCCTTTGCCACCAGTGCTTGCATTTCATAGGACCACTGTTTGACCTATTAAAAACAGAAACATTTGAATATCTCCTTTGCTTCCACCCTTAGCCCCACCAATCGGTGTAATAAGCACAGTCAACCGATCTCACCCCTATAGGATTTAACAGCGATTCGAGGAAATCTTTTCTCGGCTGGCCGTACGATCAGAGCGGCAGGCATTGGTCAAACTAGTTTCACATCTCTGGCCTCAGGCTAGGCAACCCATGAAAGTTTCAGTGCTGGAGCGCCACCAGAGTACTTTCACAGACTGGTGATATTTCTTACCCACAACATCCAGACCGTCTGCACCAATAAGGACTCACGTGAATGGGTGACACCTACCTTGTCTGGTGGCGTGGTGTAAAAGTTAGAACCGATGGAGCCAAACTTGGTAGTTTTGTTTCAAATCATGGCTGAGTGGGCCTAGTATTTTCCGTCTAAGACAGGTAAACACCCTCCGAAGAGAAGGAATTTCTCTTTCCGTTTCCGCGTTAGACAGCTTTCCGTTTGATAGATGTCATGATGGAGGAATGTATCGGGGGTGGGAGGAGGGAGGGGATTCCATTACGACAGGTTTCCGTATTACACAGGTTTCCGTTAAGGCAGATTTCCGTTAATGCAGGTTCTGCTGGGTTTTGCCAATAACTGGGATAATATCGCAATTAGAAAAACATATCTACTTAAAACGAAGAGAAAACAAAAAGCAGCCACAAAGCAGATTTACCTCTGTACTTGTGTTATCCTCGACATCTGGGAAGATTTCAGAAATGTACACACTTTCGGGGTTGGATGATCGACTTGTGACTTCATGGTGGATATCGTTGTCACTGCCAATCAACACAGATGCTACTCTTTTTTTAGATTCACTGCTGTCTTTTTCTGATCCGAATCCACCATCCGTTTTTGTTGTCGCTGACCTTGTCGTTGTCGTGTAGCCATGGCCGTCTGACTGCGATTGTGTGCTGTACTGTGCGTGGTGGATCCTCAGTAAGAAGGCAGTTTTGTTTGTCATGGCGAGTTGAAAGCCATGTGTGGAGGGGAAAAGATACACTAAACACATGGAACAAGAAGACACACGAAAGTCTCTAGGCTGGAGGAAGTACTGTCTATCTCTGCACAGATTTGTCTCAGGCTCAAGCCTAAAGTAATTTCCGTTGACAGAGTCATCATCATTTATGGCTGGTCTTTCTTCTGCGTTTACCAGCTCAGTTATTTCACTAGATAAATTGCTGCTTTTGTGTTTTACTGCAGAAGTAAGCTTACTTCTGAACGTTCCATACTGCACTTTACCCGTTCTCCTCATATTTCGTGGTCTGGTTGTATTAAAATGGTTAGATAAATGACCCGATCTGATGTCGGTAATATCTGCACTGGCATGTAGAATAATATGGTCGCTTTCAGTTTCGTTTGTTGTCTTACTTCTGGTGACTTCGTTGCTATCTGTGCGTTGGGTGAACCAAATCTGAAGGGAAAAAAAGACGGAATCATCATCATCATCATCATCATCATCATCATCATCATCATCATCATCATCGTCGTCGTCGTCGTCGTCGTCATCATCATCATCATCATCATCACGATAATTTACAACATAACAACAGCAAAAACAACAAACAGCAATATTTAATTAATTTTTCGCCTACAAAAGCAATTTAATTTCCCTAGTTTTCCCCAGGAGCCATAGAAAGAAAATTTCCACCAAAAATAAAATGAACAAAACACAGTCGACTACGGATGAGCCGACGTCGTCGGGGGTGGGGGAGGGGGTGTGAAAAAAAGATCAACTCATCCAAAGTTCAACTTAACTGTTGGGGTCTGTAAAGAAAAAGAGGTGTTAGGACTCAAGAAAAAGATCAGCATAATTAACCATGTACCAAAGATCAACTCAACACTGTATTAACATTTTCACTTTTATATTTTTATGAATTAGCGTGAGGTACAATTTCGGGAATTTTTATTTATTTATTCGTAAAAATTAACTTTCATAGTCAAAGCAGACTAACTTGTGTGCTTACAAGTTATCGCTATCGTCGTTCGCAACCGGTCCCGAGGCCAATTTCGGGAATTGATTTCGTACAAAATGCTGAATAAATAAATTGTATTATCTTCATTCACAAAGTTCAATTTTGGAAAAGATAAGATGACATTTTAATTATTTTTTATTGTTCCTTTTTTACTCTTTTCTGTGCGGCAGGGAGGATTGGAGAAACGCAGACATAATGTTTAAATGGCTTGAGATTGAGGTTAATGGAATTTCATCTAAAAGTGGGTTAGGTTACGTTTCTCTGAAAGATAACAATCTTTTTCAGGGCGATATGACCCCCTTGTTGGCCGTGAGAGTAAAAACTCCGACGACTGACAAGTTAAGCAAGCCTAATTTTAGAATCTCGTCCGAGAACAACCGTTTTTTGTGCGCAGAACACGAATGTTATATCAATATTGTTTCATAATCATATTTCTTTCTTTTTTTCTTCCTTATGAAGTGATAGTGAACTGTCTCTCAAATAAAACGCAGAGGAACCAAAATGCCGGTGTCTTTTATAATATATACAGTTCAACGTCCATCTCCGAAAGGACCGGGCCAAACGGGAAATTCGTGTATAGTGTCTTTCATAAGGACACAACGTCGGGCTCAGCTGATGCTCGAACCCTCGAACCGCAATCTCATAATTACGGGTCCGGTAGCCTAACCACTATACTAGTCACTAGGCGACAGATGCCATATATAATATTTGTAATTATATTATGCTGTCAGTATGATTTTATAGAATATCGAAACTATAAAACAGCACGAGTGGCAACAATGTGTAAGTAAACAACGAAAGTGTCCGTTAATATGCCAGCTTTTACTCTAACACAATCGGAGACTTTGACCACATGAGAGGAGCTAGTGATTGTACCAATCGAAAATCACTTCGATGAAGCGACTGACTCGCTCGGAAGAGTTCCATGCGTCCCTAAAGAAGGGTCTGTGTAAATGTGCACGTAGGGTGTAGATTTCACAGCTAGTTCACACCAATCGCTCTCCCTTCAATATGACCCTCGCAGTGTATGGTAAAGTAGCTCAGCAAATAAATAAAAAAGAAAGAAAGAAAGAACAGAAAAAAAGAGAAAACAAGAAAAGGTTTTGCAATGAGCTCAGACTGGATTCTTACACGGATTTCTATTTAATTTCTGGGCGGGTTCTTGGGCTTGTAAGTAATAGAAATATAATTCCTTTATTGAACTGATTCTAAGACGAACCGGGTTTTTTGCACCGTGTTCTCTTAGGCTGAGATCACCGTTCTTTTCAGCAATTTAGGAAAGGGGGAACAACGTGATGTAACAAGAAGCCACAAACATATTCTTGGGTTATGTTTCTTATGTTTGTTGCAAGCACATGAGAAAGGCAAAGTGCACTTGTGTCAAACTCAAGGCCTGCGGGCGGTATATACCCGACAAAGAATTATATCCGGTCCGCAAAAGAATTTAGGTAGTCCATCCTGGGAACCTCAGAACACAGACAAGTACTCCAAACAAAAACAAAAATGTTGCCAAGAAAAGATGCCAACTGTCTAGCTCTGACAAGTTGCCATACCAGCGAAAATTCGTATGCCTAAATGTGTTATTATTTAGACTTTATGTTAATTCATGTCATTATTTTTTTTAAAGGTATAGTTGTCCGCTCTGTGAGTGTTTATTTGATTCGGTCCCCAATAGTTTGAGTTTGGTCCTTGAGCAGTTGAGCCTGACACCTCTGGTATACTACCCCCCCC